ACAGTTTCAAATGTAGATATGATAGAGCCCAATAGGCTCAGGAATCTGTACACCAGTTGATTGACGGTTGAGAGGCGGGACCAAAGAGCCAGAGCTCAACCCCCGCAAGCACAATTAGGTAAGTACAATTAGGTAAGTACACACACACACACCCACACACACACCCACACACACACACACACACACACCCACACACACACACACACACACACCCACACCCACACCCACACACACACCCACACCCACACACACACACACACACACACACACACACACACCCACACACACACACACACACACACACACACCCACACACACACACACACACACACACACACACACACACACACACACCCACACACACACACACACACACACACACACACACACACACACACACACACACACACACCCACCCCCCACCCCCCACACACACACACAGCTGGCGTGGGAGGGAGCCAGCTGAGAGAGACGCCACCCGTTGCAAGTGTAAATAACCACCATTAAGAGTCTCTGAGGGTCGGATGTATAAACACCTCGCTCTCACTCCCTAATCTCAGACTCCACTCATATTTCCTCTCTTACTTTTTACCCTCCAATATTTACATCCTCCGTGGTGGCCGGCGCAAGCAGGCTGTGTTGGGCGGCATGTTGCAGCTTCTGTGATGGATGGTCGGGCAGAACACTTGGTGGAGCTTGATGCAAACAGCATTCGATGTGGGGGCCGCAAGCAGCAACAGTCTCACTGATCAGATATACCGTGAACTGAGCAGTAACTTCCAGTCAAGGCGAGTGAGCAGTGACTGACTGTCAACTCGCCTGAGCGGAAGCGGCCAGTCAGGAGACATAATGGTTTCCTGTACCAGTCGTTACAGAGCGTTTCTGATAGCTGACACTAAACAGGAAATAATTCTCAGCTTTCAGATATAATGCCGCAGATAATAGCGGCTGTCTGTCTGTGTGTTCGTGTCTGCCTGTGCGTCTTCCTGTGCGTGCTTGTTCCTGTGTGTACGTGTCTGCCTGTGCGTGCTTGTTCCTGTGTGTACGTGTCTGTTTGTGTGTGTACGTATCTGCCTGTTGGTACGTGTCTGTGTGTGCCTGTGTGCGCGTGTGTGCCTGTGTGCGCGTGTGTGCACGGGCGGGAGGGTGTGGAGGCGTCAGTGTCCGTGAGTGAAGCAGGTGCACATGACTGTAGGGGAGGGGAGGGGGGGGGGGGCAGACACAGGTGCACATGACTGTAGGGGAGGGGAGGGGGGGGGCAGACACAGGTGCACATGACTGTAGGGGAGGGGGGGGCAGGCGCTGATATAGAAGCTCTAGCTTGCAGTTTGATTAGGATCAACAATGATATTCCTAAAGAACCCCCCCCCCCCCTAGCCTTAGAGGGAGGGACAGAGAAAGTGTGTGTGTGTGTGTGTGTGTGTGTGTGTGTGTGTGTGTGTGTGTGTGTGTGTGTGTGTGTGTGTTAAAGTGTGTGGGGGGGGGGGTGTTGCCCCCGAGTCTGACGATGAACACCTTGGAGAAGTGCGTTCCCCTGTTGATTGTTGGCCCTAATACATTACTTGGCAACCTGGTGGTGTATGGGGGGGAAGGGGAGATGAGTTATGAGACAGGAGGGGGGAGGGGGGGAGGAGGGGTTGGGGAGAGGGGGAGGAGGGGGGAGGGGAAGCAGAGGAGGAGATGAAGCCTTTCTGTCAATTATTCAAACATTCAAAAAACAGCCTAAGTGAGTCCTTATTTCCTCGAGAGTAACCTACCCTACACCTAGGGTAGGGTACACCTAGGGAAGGGTACACCTAGGATAGGGTACACCTAGGATAGGGTATACGTAGGGTAGGGTACACCTAGGGTAGGGTACACCTAGGGTAGGTTAAAACAGGGGTTTGGGTTCCTCGTATGTATGTACATATATTAGTCATTAGAAGAAAAGGTCCCTCAATAACCCAATAACAACCCATGTTACCTTGAGGTGATTCCGGGGCTCAGCGACCCCCGCGGCCCGGTCGTCGACCAGGCCTCCTCCAGTATATGTTGTGTACATATACTTTATAAGTCCGTGACTCGTTTGGTACTGGCTTGGCTGGTGTCTTATCCAGGATTAATCAAGCAGTTAGCAACCACTTACGAAACCTCTACATCTTTCCTCCGTCATGACGGATTTGTTTACATATATTAGGCAGTGTATGAGATCTGGAGCACTATACGAGGTTGTTTATGACAATAATAAATGTCGTCGACCCGTCACCTGTGGGTCGACGACGGGTGACGGGTCGACGACACATAACGAGGTCACTCATATGTAATCGCTAATTTACATAATCAATAGACCTGTGACACTTTTTTAATCCCCCCCCCATAAACTAGCACTATTGCCCCCATAAACTAGCACTATTGCCCCCATAAACTAGCACTATTGCCCCCATAAACTAGCACTATTGCCCCCTTAAACTAGCACTATTGACCCCCATAAACTAGCACTATTGCCCCCATAAACTAGCTCTATTACCCCCATAAACTAGCTCGAATGTCCCTGGAAACTAGCACTCCTGCCCCCCCCTTCCCCAAACATAGCACTCGACCCCCACCGAAACTGGCACACCTCGACGAGACTGCCCAAACACCTTCGGCCTCTACCCATCAGCCATCACCACCCATGACGACGACTCGTCGCCGCCCCCATGAGCAGGTCGACGACCTTTGTAACACCTGTGGCCTAGTTCGTCCTGTCGTGCACGTACCTGTAAGTCGGTTGGCGCAGTCTTGGGACTGCAGGTGTTCGGATTGTGACTGCAGGTGTTCGGACTGTGACTGCAGGTGTTCGGACTGTGACTGCAGGTGTTCGGATTGTGACTGCAGGTGTTCGGATTGTGACTGCAGGTGTTCGGACTGTGACTGCAGGTGTTCGGATTGTGAGTGCAGGTGTCCGGACTGTGACTGCAGGTGTTCGGACTGTGAGTGCAGGTGTTCGGACTGTGACTGCAGGTGTCCGGACTGTGACTGCAGGTGTCCGGACTGTGTCTGCAGGTGTTCGGACTGTGACTGCAGGTGTCCGGTCTGTGATTGCAAGTGTCCGGACTGTAGTGTTCTTACATTCTTGTAACGCCACAAGCACGCGTAGCGTTTCGGACGGGTCCTTAAATCGTAAGTTTCCCCTGGAATACGACTCGCCAAATTGTTTAACAGCCAGGTACCCATTTTACTGCTGGGTGAACAGGGGGCGTACAGCTAAGGATTGACACCTAGTCAGTTTTTCCCCCGGCCAGGATGCGAACCGTTCGAACACATCCCGAACAATGCTCGCGAAGCGCCGAACGACTAACCCAGGTCTCCGCCGTTCCAAAAATGAAAGCGTTTTGACCACATTTGTAGACCTCACGTTCTTCACCAAGAGAACGAATGAATTGTTTATACTGACATATACATACATGCACACACACATCTTTTGCCATCACAAAAACCATTCTAATACCCACACTCCGCCCTCAACACGCCCACTACTGACGCTGCCGCCCACACACACCCATCCACACACACCCATCCAGCACATGCCCATAACCACACCCCCCATCATATAGATATCATATATCATATACGTGTCATATAGATATGCTTATGACGACTGTTTTTCCCTTCCACAGGTGAGTGGGAGGCTCTGATCGCGGTAAGAATAGCGTCGCATCTGGCGGTGCTGCTGCTACTGCTGCTGCTACTACTGCTGCTGCTACTGCTGCTGCTGCTGCTACTGCTGCTGCTACTGCTGCTGCTACTACTGCTGCTGCTGCTGCTGCTGCTGCTACTGCTGCTGCTGCTGCTGCTTGTGCGCTTTACCTCCCCCCCCCCTCCTCCTTCCCGCAAACACTTGCATGTCAGCTGGTGAGACTATGATGTGGAGGTCGAGGGAGCCGCCATCTTTGTTGTGGATGCTGTTCCCTTAGTGTTGCCTGTGGCCCTTCTACGGCTGTCCTCCCCCCCCCCACCACCCCCTAACCCCCCGCTGCTCCTCTACTAGCTCCTCTACTGGCTTCTCCCCGCTGCTGCTCCTCTACTGGCTTCTCCCCGCTGCTCCTCTACTGGCTTCTCCCCGCTGCTCCTCTACTGGCTCCTCCCCGCTGCTCCTCCCCGCTGCTCCTCTACTGGCTTCTCCCCGCTGCTCCTCTACTGGCTTCTCCCCGCTGCTCCTCTACTGGCTCCTCCCCGCTGCTCCTCTACTGGCTCCTCCCCGCTGCTCCTCTACTGG